TGTTTCGTGTGCAGGTAGCAACTTTACAGTTGTTGGAGAGTTGACTGGGTACGGTCACTAGGGGAACTGATGTCCATATGTTCCCTTTGTTGTTCCCTTCTGAAAAGTTGATTTACATCTCCAGCTTGAGACTTGTTATTCCTACATACTTGAGGATATGAATCTGGTTCCTCATGTGGTTCTTGTCATTAAGTTTGTTAGATCATCAAAATATAACAAGGCACATATAACCTATCAATTTCCAAATGTTTTGCTTGTTTCAATGTGTTACTCAGGACCAGTGATGGAGCTATATAGCTCCAAGGGGTGTCAACGAGATACCCTTTCGCCGGAAAAAAGCACTGTTTAGATAGGTAAAACTTATTTTCTTTATGTATATATACTACTATGTATTGAATCCCCTTGACTTCTTGGCATATTTACTTCTTTAAATTTTGACACTCTTTAGTAAAAATCCTAGCTCCGCTACTGCTCGGGACATGTTTTTAGAAGAATCCTGCTGGATTTTACTAGTCCATTACCAAGATTATAATCTCACCACTCTATTTGTGTTGCAGATTATTTTTAGAAGTCCTCTCTTGATCTTGTTATGGATTGATATTATAGCATAAGTTTGTCATAATTAACTCTCAGTTTCTTCTCCTCGTGGAACATTTATCTAACCTTTTTGTTGATTTATTTTGGTTGCAGCAAAAAGAAAGTCGAAGTGAATTCTAGTTTTAGGTAACTATCTATAACTACAAATCCTTTTTATATTACCAGATTTACTCAATGTGATCCCATATTATCTTCTTCAACTATGTTCCACTTTTCTGTAGTCATTTTTCAAAAAAGAAATTGATTAGTTTCCTCTGTTGTTTGCTTCAGTCTTATCTGCAGTGATTGTCTTGATCATTTTAATTTGCCTTAGTATTGTTTTTTGGCGTTTCAAGAAAGGAAAGAGCGATTGTTTTCACTTCTTCACAAGTTTTAGAATATCAGGCCCATATCATATTGGCCCAAAAGTTTCTGAAGAAGAAATAGACCCAAGCCCAAACACTTGACAACTTTATAGTCTTGTAATATTATTGTATCAATAGCCACAAATGTATTAGATAGTTATTTTTTATTGTTTAGTATAAATAGACAAATAAGTGTTAAGTTATACAAGATATTATATTGAATACACGTAAATTCTTTTATCTCTTTCTTTTAGCTCTCTCTAGAACACTCGATCTAGGGTTCTCTCCCAAAGAAATTTATGGATTTTTCTTCGTTTATCTCCAATCTAACATGGTATCAGAGCGAATCCTGGTGATTATTGCTCTAATCTGAGTGTTCATCAGAGAGATTATCAAAAATTCTTGAGTTCTCTGGTTCCGACGATTTCAAAGTGTTTTCTTATTTTTTATTCGATTCGGAGTCTTCGACTGGGTTCTTCATTAAAATCTCTCATTCGGCGATTTCTATGGAGATTCTGAGTCATTCTCACTAATCAATTTCACAATAATTGCCTCATGAAAATCAACTCGGAAACTAGGGTTTTTTGTCATTATCAATCTTCGCATGCGATGACATTCATCTAAACATATCTCTTTGAGTTTTTCTAGTTGATTACTTTAGATATTAAATTGTAGAAATCTTGACTTTGAATAGTGATTCAGCTGAACCTTCTGGTGTTTCAACAACATCAATCCTTGATCCCTTTCACCCTCTTTATCTTTACCCTTCCGACACTCCAGGAATCATGTTAGTATCCGTGCCCTTCGCTGGCACAACGTTTGGGGATTGGAAGGAAGGGATGCTCATTTCTATGTCTGCAAAGAACAAGGTCCAATTAATTGATGGATCTATAATTCAACCTATAACTAATTCTCCCTTATATCCTCATTGCCAACGATGTAATAATATGGTTAAAGCATGGATAATGAATTCACTCTCTAAGGACATAGCCAAAACAATTCTCTATTATAAGACTGCTAGAGAAGCCTGGAATAATCTTGTGAAAAGATATGATGTTGCCAACATTTTCTAATATTACAGCCTTCAACAATCCATTTCTTCTACATCCCAAGGATCATCTGATATTGCCACCTATTATACTAAACTCAAGGAGTACTGGGATGAAATATATACAATCTCATTAGGAAGGCCTTGTACATGTGGTGCCATGCATGAATTCAGTGAGGCGCAGAAACTTATTCAATTCCTATCAGTGTTAAATGAAACTTATTCTACTGTTAAGAGTAACATCTTAATGATGAGTCATGTTCCAAGTGTGGAGAAGGCATATTCCATTCTGATCATAGATGAGAAGCAAAGGGAAATTAATTCCGGTTCCCAACCTTTTTCTTTTGATTCCACTTCCTTCATAGCCAACTCCAATTCCAATTCTAGTCCTAATCAACCAAACACCACCAGAAATTTTACTCAGAGGGTGAATTTTGAACCTAGGAGATCCACATTGTCTTGCAAGTATTGCAAGAAGCCTGGTCACACTGTAGACAAGTGCTACAAGCTACATGGATTCCCACAAGATTTTAAATTCACCAAGGGAAAAAGAGTTGTTGCATGTGTCCAGATTGAGCCAACAGATCAGACTTCACCCAAGCCTGATTCACCTCAAACTGAAGACATTCCACATGGGTTTTCCAAGGAACGATATGTTCACTTATGTCTCTATTCTATCAGATGCAGATGTCTTCTCCAAATCAGCAATCTACATCCCAAGACTCTCCAATCTACGCTAATTTTGCAGGTTGGCATGACAATACTGTTAGTAGGTTATATTGTGATCTTGTATGTCATGCTAGCCATAACAATTTCAGCTCTTGGATCCTAGATTCAGGAGCAATCAATCATATGACACCTCATAAACACCTACTTCATAATATACAACCTTTAATCTCTCCTTCTCTTGTTACTTTACCAAATGGTTATAAAGTAAAGGTTACTTTTTTTGGATGCCTTTCTTTATCCACTAGCATCATTCTAACTAATGTACTATTGGTACCTTCTTTTCATTACAACTTAATTTCTATACACCAACTTCTCTCTCAACTCAAATGCTATGCACTCCTTATTAATATTTCATGTTGGTTACAGGGTCCTTCTCTGGCCATTGAAAATTGGTAAGGTTGAGCATGGACTATACATCCTGAGATTGTCATCTCATGGTATTGCTGCAACTGATGTTTCTCAAGCAAATGCCTGTCCAATTTCTTCTTTACATAACTCTGATTCAATTTTTGTTTTTCCTATTCATAATTCTGTAGTCGATAGCTCTAATGTTGCTCCAGTTGCTTATAATTCTAGTTCTATCAATAAAAATGATGTACTTTGGCATCAAAGAATGTGACATATGCCTTTCTTAAAAATGGTTTCTATTCCACTACTATTTTTTTTTAGTGGCAATTATTTAGTGGCAATTAGGGAATTGCCGCTAATTTATAGACTAAAGGTAAGCTATTGCCGGCATATGCACATTAGCGAGCGTACAGTCCATTTTTATCGGCAATCTATATATATATATATATATATATATATACTAAAGCAGATGACTTGGCACCTCTCATATGCCAAAAAAGCTATTTATCTTTTTTCTTCATTTTTTTCACTTATTCTTTTAATTTTAATTATCTAAGAAATCCAAAAGTCACTTCCCTTCGGGGACATCCAATAAAAATAAATGCAAAAGTTATTACAATTAAATAAACACAACCGTTTAGTCAAGAAACCAATTACCAAATTTTAACGGGCTTCTGGCAGTTATATATGAGATCTAATGCCTCATCACATTACCAAGTTTGATATATAACAAATCTCCAATCTCCAATATGGAATAAGTCTGGTATGTGCTAGAGGATTGATCCCTAATTTCTTTTCTTTTTTTCCTGTTATCTTTTTGTCTTTTGATTTCTGCAGGTGTCAATTTAAGTACATGGATAATATTCCAAGAAAAAGAAATCTGTCAAAGTAGTATCCGATGACAGTTTTTGCTTTTCACAGGTTCTATACTATTTAAACAGTGGTCCGATAATTACTATTTGCATTTCATACTTATCTTCAGTTTTAATTTTTATTTTTGGGGTGAAAATACTAAAGCGATACATATTTTTAACCGGCGAACTTATTTTTCCTGTATGTATTTTTTTTCCCGCATTTTTCATTTACCATTTCTTCTAACTTTCAAAATCTCAAATATAGTTACTTATAAATACTACCGCAATAACTAATATTATCTTTGAAACAATAATATGATGGTATATTTCATAATTCATTGTATCTAAGTGTCTATAAATTTCTCCAAACAGAATTTTCATTTTTTTAATATTAATTACTGCACTTTCAAGATATAATGAACACAATATTTGGTCTTTGTTTTTTATTTATTTAAAAGTGATTGATAATTCCTTTGTTTTTGGTTTCGATCTCCACGTGGCACATTATTTAACCAGTATGACTTAAATTTGTACTCATTTTCTTCTTATTTTTCATTTACCTTTTTTTTTAAAAAATCCAAGAACCTATTAATATACTTACTACTAATTCTATTTACAATGGTAAGTGTCATCTATGTATACTAATCATACAGGAATGGAAGGCGGGGGGACATAGACTCTCCAATATTGAAAAATGTTAACTCTAAATAAAATCACTAATGCTATTATTCATGAACAACCTTTAAATAGAAAGGGATGCTAGACGATTTATTTTACACTTGTCACTATAAAATGAATGTTAACTTATCTTCCCAATTAAGAGGGCCGTTAATTATAAATCTCTAAGAGCAAGTATGTGATACTTTAATTTGTATTTATATTTCTATTTTGGGTGTTCATATGTGTTTTTGTTACACCCTTGATTTTATATTTTGTAATCATTCATGTCTTACAATTATATCTTTATTTTAAATCTAAATTTTATTATTTTAAATTTTTATATCTTTTGTGTACACTATATATACAAAAAGGTATATTCTGCCGCGCAAATCGTGAGAAAATTAACTAGTTTAAAATAATAGCCAGCAAAAGAGTCGATTCTTTTTTACACTCCCTCCAAAAACAAACCCTATATGTTTTCATTTCCCTCTCTCTTCTCTAACTCATCCCGCCTATGGAGTTTTTTTATTCAATAAGAGTCTTTATCCTTTTTTGTTATTCTTGCCTTATCTGTGATCTTTCATTTAGCCGACAACCTCACTCTCATCATTCTAGTGAAAAACAAGAATCCTCTTTCAAAGTTCCATGATTTTGAATGGTGTTAGCTTTACTTCAGTCAAGGTAACGGCTGACTGAACCTCAATTTTGGGAAAAATTCTTTGTACAAGATCAATTTATATCTCTCATTTACATATATTTAATTTCTCTTTAAGAGTGATTGGATAACTGATTTGCTTATGCTTCTTGTTGTCGATTGAAGTAAGCTCTTTTTTCTTTCTTCTTCAATTTGCAATGCTATAAACTAGTTTGATTTTTTAGATTGGCATTTTTCTTCTCATTTTGTAATCATAGAAGACTGGATTTAGTTAGGATTCATTTATTTTCTCTATTTTGCTTGTGATCTGGTATGATTATTTTTCATTTGTTTATACTTTTATTAGTACTTGAGATGTTTCTTCTAGAGGAGAATTTAAGAATTAAGAAGCATATGTGGTGTTTGATAAAATGCCATAATAGAGAACAATAATGACTATATAATATTATTGTGTTTTGTAAGTAGTTCCATAGATCTTTGAAAGATGAGATATCATTTTCAAATATTTGTATGCTAAGTTGTTTTAATTTGTTAAATTATTGAAGAACAATAGAAGTACCTCTGAGTTAAATGAGGCTGTTAAAATTGTATTTTTGGTTCTACTGGGGCAAACAAAGATGTTATCATGACATTGCTTCAATGCTTAGACCACCATAAAACTCGAGTCCTCGTGAACTGGAATTTATAGTGTTCTGACTTGCAAAGAATGACGCTATATTTCTTGGTGTTCCATTTCAAAGCTGGAGCTATTTTTGGCCTTCGAATTTAGTCCAGATGCTTCTCTAAACATTGAATCTATTATACTAATTTTTAATCATCAAGTCTCTATGTATTTGGTGTCTTTATTTCCAGGAAATTGACGAGATTATGACAGCAAGAGCATAAGAAATAAAAAATTCTGCTTCTGTAAGAAGTCAATTTGTTGATGCAGTAGCCTAAGCAGCTAAATATTTCAAATATACAGGTGACAATCTTGACGACATGGCTGTCATTGACGATGTAATGATTGAGGTGTAAGATTTGAAACCTAATTCAAACTCTTCCTCCTTCGAATTGTAAGAACTTTTGAGTTCTCAAATGAGTTGCCTACAACTCTCTTTTTGAGGGTTTCACTTGCATATCTGTAATGTCTATCTGATATATGCATCTTAAAATAAAGTTGTATTATGTGATAGCTAATAGTATTAATGAGTGGTGATGGCACAAATGACACTAATAGAGTCATACTTATAATAATCAGCTAATTTGTTTTTGAATTAGAAAGGGTGACAAACTAAATATTTTGATTTTACATTTGTAACTTCTACTTAAACTCCACTACAGTGGTCTATGTTAATGCACACTTAAGTTGTTACATTGCTTGGCAGGATTAGTTATAAGTTATAAGCTATATGTTACTCATTTAATAGCTAGTAGCATGCTATTTCAACGACGTGACATGTTTGGCTCTACTCGATTTATAATAAATTTTGATTCTACCTATACATTCTACTTCTATTCTTATTTTAGTGTTGGAATTGTTATGTTAGTGAAAGTGATAATCCTGTTACTGCTTCTTTTATTTCCTTAAGGTCAAGCTCTAACATTTGTTTTCTTGAACTGACTGGATACTAAATAGGAATTATGACAGAATAGATATTTGGGACCTTGCATCTTATATGTACTTTTTTGTCGAATGGGGCTTTTGGATAAAGAATTAATTTTGATTTGAAACATACAGATGCTGAATAGAGTCAACTAATTCTCACGTATTGTTATGGATTGTGATTCCCTTTAAAATTGAAGTTTGAATCTATATTCTCTAAGTCATATTATCTTAGTCCATTTTCCTTCTCTAGACAGACACATTGGCATATTCAACTAAAAAGTATTTTAATGATCTTTTGCTTTTTCAGTTATTGATGACTTGGCCTTCTTCCATAATGTTTTGCGGAAGCAACTCTTTTATAATAGCAAATGAGTGAATAGATTTAAATTTGTATTTAACTTCCACACTTATTCATTTTTGTCTCAACTAGCTCAAGAATAATAAGGGCAATTTGGTGGCAAAGTGCAAATCATAAATCTATCATACAGACTTTCATTGTGGCAATGTAATAGCACAAAATTTCCAGCTTGATCACCGTAGAAGCAGCATGCTACATCAACTTAATTGATTTGATAGCGTATTTCCATTTCTCTAAGTTGTATGCAAGCACTCTGGTTATTTTTTCTTCCTCATTATGCAAGTTTTCAAGTATTGAGTCACACAAAATCTGTAAGACTATCTCCTTGCTTCTTATCATTATAGAAATATTATTTTTTGATGTACTTTATGCATATGAGGCAGTGATTGTCTTTGTGTATAACTTGTCTTGCTTAATGTTATTTGAGTTACTTAGAAAAGTTTTATTTTTGTTATGTGAGGAAATACTTGTAACCCACAAGGTGCATCCGTGCTTGCCTTCTTTTACAAAGAAGAATTAAGTACATCTGTTCCTTTAACAATAATCAAGGACGTTGCTTTCTTTGGCTGATGACTATTACTGAAGTGTTTTAGCTTCAAACATGGTTGGTGTTGTGCGGATAACCAGAGTTCTGTGGTGAAATTGGTTGTGTTCATTCTCTGAAGCTCTTTTCGATAGCTTGAAGTATAACTTTATTTTGGTGAGACTCTTCAAATGTTAGTTGAAAGCTACAATATTTTTGTGAAGATTTGAGCTGCAAGTTGGATGAGGTTTTTGCTGCAACTTGATCTCGTGCAATTTGCCAATCCTTTTGGTGCGCAGATGAATCGTCAAGCTTAAATTTCATGTGGAAAACTTTCAATATGATCAAGAGCTGCAGAGAGATATTTGTTGGGCTTGAAATGACATTAGATTCAAATGATCTATTTGTTCTCCTATGTTGTTGACATGTTGAAACTATGGATTGGAAGTTATTTTTTATATGGATTTAATGAAATACATTATGAATTTTAGAATGGTGCATGTTTTTTTATAAACTATTATATATTTACGTTTAAATTTTTTTGGCTATAACAACATCCATTGAAGAGATAAATAAAGGCGAATGAAACAGTAGTTTTAGTAGCTATTTCGTTTGCTGTTAAAAGAGGTCCCCTTCACCAGCAAATAATGGACTTTTACTGGCAATATTAAAGGCTGCAGAATATATAAGCTAGCGCATTTGGCCATTGAAATTGCTGGTAAATAAATGCCGCTAATAGTAATTAACTTTAGCAGCAATAATTAATGTCTTTACCAGCACTTCGTAGAATTATCGTTAAAGCCTTTAGCGACGCTATTTTCTTCTAGACAATCTTTCGCATGTACTATATATCCAATGGCCAGACAACAAAGACTACCCTTCCCGGAAAGTACCTCACACTCTAACAAACTTTTTCAACTTGTACACATTGACCTATGGGGGCCTTATCACACTGTTACATACAATGGCTTCAGATATTTTCTGACCATTGTAGATGACTACAGTAGGGTCACCTGGACACATCTTCTTTCCTGTAAAGGCAATGCATTTTCCATCATTAAATCCTTTATTGCCATGGTGTCTACACAATTTCATACTTCTATTGAAACTATCAGAACTGATAATGAATTTGAATTAGGATCTGCTCATTCACATGCTTCATATCTCACTTCTCTTGGCATTTCTCACCAAACTTCTTGCCCACACACTCCTCAACAAAATGGGATAGTAGAAAAAAAAAACATAAATATTTGTTAGAGACTGCTATGGCTCTTCTTTTTCAATCCAAATTGCCTACCAAATATTGGGGGAGTGTGTCCTTACTGCAACTTACCTCATCAACAGATTTCCTTCCACTGTTCTTTCTAACAAAACACAACATGAAGTATTACTTGATCATCCTCCTAGCTATGATCACCTCAGATTATTTGGATACCTAGCATATACCACTGTTCCTCATCCTTCCAGGGATAAACTGCAATCTAGAGTTATTCCTTCTGTGTTTCTAGGTTGTGGGTTTAGTAAAAAGGGCTACAAGTTGCTGAATTTAGGAACCAAATCTATATTCTATTCCAGGGATGTCATCTTTGTTGAAACATATCTTCCCATCTACTTCTACACCCTCTGGTTTCTTTCCTTCTTCTACTTCCTCCTTTTCTGATCACATCACTCCTAATCATGTTCCTGTTTCTTCTTCACCCTTTCACCCTTTTGATCCTACTCCAACTTATTCTTCACCCTTTCATCCTACTTCTTCCCTTTCATCCTTCTGTTTCTTCTCCTGAACCTGCTTATGTTCCTTCACTTACTATTACACAACACACACAAATTCCTCTTTCTGCTTCTTCCTTTTCTCTTCCTTTGAGAAGATCCTCTAGGTGTAGACAATCACTCCTACCCACATTAAGGACTATGTTTGCTATGCTGTACCTCCCACTACTTCTGCCATTTCTTCATCCTCCTCTTAGTCTACCTCACTTACCCATTTACTTGAACCTTCTTTCTACCATCAAGCTGCCTCTAATCCTGCCGGCCAAGAGGCAATGTTAAAAGAATTTCAAGCTTTGGAGTCTAACCAAACTTGGGATATTATTCCTCTACCACCTAGCAAGAAGGCCATTCCTTGCAAATGGGTGTATAAGATTAAGCAAAAATCTGATGGTAGCATTGAGAGATACAAAGCCAGGTTGGTCATTAGGGGGATACTCAACAGGCTGGTGTTGACTATTTTGAAACATTCTCACCAGCGATCAAGTTTACTACTATTAAATGTCTACTTGCTTTGGCTGCTAAACATTCTTGGCATGTATACCAGCTTGATGTAAATAATGCATTCTCGCATGGGGGTCTCTCTGAGGAGGTATACATGAAAGTTCCTCTTGGCCTCACTGTCTCTTCTTCTTCTTCTGGTCCTCCTTTGGTATGCATACTCAAGAATTCATTGTGTGGTCTCAAACAGGCATCAAGACAATGGTTTGCTAAATTGTCTAATGCTCTTACTTCCATGGGATATTCTTCCAGCCTTAATGACTACTCATTATTCTCTAAAATCACTACTTCTTCAACTGTTTTTATTGTTGTATATGTGGATGACATATTGTTGGTTGGGAATGATATCTCTGAGTTGGACTCTATCAAATCCTTTTTACACAACCAATTCAAGATCAAAGATTTAGGTTCTGTTCACTATTTTCTGGAACTTGAGGTTTCTCACCTGCCCCAAGGACTGCTTATTAATCAACATAAGTATCTTAAGGAGCTCCGTATTGAGTTTAATTGTGACTTTTCTTCTCCTGTTGTTACACCATTAGACATGTCTATCAAGCTTACTCCCACTTCTGGTGACCCATTGGCTGATGCTTCTCCTTATAGGAGGCTCATAGGGAAGCTGGACTTTCTTCAACACATAAGGCCCGATATCTCTTTCTCTGTTTAGCACCTTAGTCAGTTCCTTAATGCTCCTCGCACTGCTCATATGCAAGTAGGTCTAAATGTTTTGAGATACTTGGTTAAGGATCCTACTAGAGGCATTCTCCTTAACAACAATCATGATTTTTCAGTCATTGCTTATTCAGACTCTGACTGGAAAGGGTGTCCTTCTTCTAGAAAGTCTGTGACTGGTTATTATGTTACTCTTAGGGGCAGTCCTCTTACTTGGAAGTCTAATAAACAGCCTACAATATCATTGTCTTCTGCAGAAGCTGAATACAGGGCTCTTAGAAAAACTGTTGCTGAACTTACTTGGCTTGTTAGACTGTTGGCAGACTTGGGCCTTTCTATTTCTGCTCCAATTCCTTTATACTCTAATAACAAGTCAGTCATTAGCATTGCTAAAAACCTTGTTTCTCATGAGTGGACCAAGCATATTGAGCTTGACTGTCATTTTGTCCGGGAAAAACTTGCTAGTGGCCTCAACTGCACTATATTTCTATTGAGTCTCAACTGGCAGAGATTTTTACCAAACCACTAACAGGCATTCAACATCAGTTTTTCTTGTGCAAGCTGGGAGTGTTCTAACCCTCCAGCTTAAAGGGGGTGTTAGAATAACAAGCCCAGATCATATTGGCCCAAAAGTTTCTGAAGAAGAAATAGACCCAGGCCCAAACACTTGACAACTTTATAGTCTTGTAATATTATTGTATCAATAGCTACAAATGTAATAGATAGCCATTTTTTATTGTTTAGTATAAATGGACAAATAAGTGTTAAGTTATACAAGATATTATATTGAATATACGCAGATTCTTTTATCTGTGTCTTTTAGCTCTCTAGAACACTCGATGATCTAGGGTTCTCTCCCAAAGAAATTCATGGATTTTTCTTCGTTTATCTCCAATCTAACAACAAGAAATACATATTCTGATCCCTCAAGTCAAGATCTTGAAGGCGGTAGCAAGTTCTTTGGAGTCACCGTCTTCTCCTACTCTACTTGAAGAAGCCACCAATAATTTCGATTCCTCCAAAGAACTTGGAGACAGAGGTTTTGGAACTGTATACCATGGTAATAAGCCATTATAATTCAAGTCATCAAATTTGAAAAAGCATTAGACTGAGTTTTTGTATTATTGTATCAATGCTATGAGTTGCTAACATATTTCAGTAAGCTAATAATGTACTTCTTTTATTAGGTAAACTTCGTGATGGGAGGGAAGTTGCAGTGAAACACCTGTACGAGCAAAGTTCCAAGAGGATGTTGCAATTTAAGAATGAAGTTGAAATTCTTACTCGCATAAGGCACCATAATCTTGTTATGCTTTATGGTTGCACATTAAGGCATAGTCGTGAACTCCTCCTCGTTTATGAATTCATTCCAAATGGAACAATTGATGATCACCTCCACGGTGAAAAAGCAAAGAACGGGAGTACCCTTATATGGCCTATCCGCATGAAAATTGCCATAGAAACTGCTAGCGCTTTATCTTATCTCCACGCTTCTGACATAATACACCGTGATGTTAAGACTAGTAACATTCTCCTTGACAACAATTTTGGTGTCAAAGTTGCAGATTTTGGGCTCTCAAGACTTTCTCCACATGATGCAACTCATATCTCGACTGCTCCTCAAGGGACGCCTGGATATGTCGATCCAGAATATCATGCATGCTATCAGTTAACTAATAAAAGCGATGTGTATAGCTTCAGGGTTGTCCTTGTTGAGCTCATATCATCACTGCCTGCTGTGGATATAAGAAGGCATAAGGATGAAATTAGTTTGGCTAACTTTGCATTAAA